TCAGGCACATTCCAGGATATGGGCTTCTACTGCTTGGGCAAACTCAGGTGTGCATTTAGCCTCAGGGTCTGGAAGAAGCCAGATCAAGAAACCACAGGACTCCGGCAATATGCTGCTCCTTTCCTGTGTAAGCCCTGCCCTGAAAGGTCTCTGAGTGTCCAATCCAGGAGCAGCTGACCCCAGAGGGACTTACCTGGACACCGCCTTAAGGGCTCAGACCAGACAAGAAGCCCATTTCCCAGCTATACGCCTTGCTTTCTGTGATGGCTAAGTTTTGTGTCAACGTTGCTGGGCCACGGTGCCAGTGATCTGTTCAGATACTATTTAGATGTGGCCGTGAGGCTGAAGGCCTTAAAAGACTGAGATTTCCCAGAGAAAAAGAAATTCTGCCTCAAAGTATCAACTCCTGCCTGAGTTTACAGCTGGGCAACCTGCCCTACAAATTTCAGAATTGGCAGCCCCCTCAATTGCATGTCCCAAGTTCTGAAACTAAATTTCTTAATAGATGTCTCTCTCTGTCTTGCTCTGTCTCTGTCTCTGTCTCTCTCTCCTATTGGTTTTGTTTCTCTGGAGAACACTGACTGATACACCTTCCTGCCTAAGAAGCAAAATGTCTCCATGTGCGCATCAGGAAGCTGGGGGCACATTCAAAGGGTTAGAAATTCATTTTTAATACTGTAATTAATCCAGAAGACAGCACAGCATGGTGGCCTTGGATGCCGTCTTAGCTTGAATGCCAGCTCGGCCTCCAGGAGCCGTGGGGCCGAGGAAGCCACCTCACCACCCCATCGAGTTGTGAAAACCAAGTGCGTTCAGATATGCCACGTGCTTGCAACAGAGCCTGGTGCATAGCCAGGTGGGAGGCCTGCCTGTTAAATACACCCGTCTGACAAACTCTCAAAAGGGACTTCCTTTCTCCTGGGGCTGAGCCCGTGGCTGACTCCGCCCTCTGCACGTGACCATCTTGCTTTTCCACTAAGTTCCTTGCAATCATTGTTTCTGGCCATTTCCACAGCCCCTTGTCCCCTGGGAAAGTCTTTTCTAGTCTACGGTCATCTCCACGGTGACCTCTCAGGTTAGTAAAACAGGGCCACACGGATGAGATAATTCACTAGTGCACACAAAGGACCTGCCTGGTGCTCGCTCATGGCAGGTGCTCAGGGAATGTTTCTGAGTAACTGAATGAATGCCCAGCCACCCAGGAGGGCAGGCACCACGATGTCGTTTGACAGGTGAGGGCTCAGGTTCAGAGTGGTTAAGTGACTTGCCCATGGTCACACAGCTAGATATTATGGAGACTGTGTGCTTGTCTCTCCACCAGGATGCCACCCATGGATTGTAGGAGGCCAACTCAGGAGCAAAATGGCAATGTCTTCTAATGAGTGCCAGGTGGGAGGGTACAGGGAGTTGGATTAGAGGACATTTGATATTGCCCAGGGTTAGAAGAGGTCCCTGCCCCTCAGACTGGGAGCTCCTGGCACAGATGGTCAGAGGGTAACTGAAGCTCTGATGTACCATGGCCAGGGGCTGGCATTCAGATCTTCTGGGACAGAGCACCACATCTCAGGAAGGGCGTTAAGCTGGGTCCAAAACGGGCCTCCCAGGGATGTCCACTTGCTGATCTCCGCTCCCCCCACTGGCACCGTATGACTCATCTGACCCCCTTCCAGAGTCAAAGAGGATTATCATGCCTTGTCCATCATCAACATCATTAACTGAGCACCTACAACATGCTACCGGGCACCCACCTGGCACCGTTCATGGCTGCCAGGCTGCGCATCCCGAGTCCCTCAGCCATGCCTCGTAGGCCAGACTGCTAATCACCATCAGGCTGGGCACGCCCTGCTCCTCTGAGCAAACATGACTACAGCCGCCTCCCACCCAGACAGCCTGGAGTCACACCTGCAATGTCCCTCCCCTCCCCTCCATGCGCTTTCCATCACCAACTCCTGCCCCTCAACTCCCCAAGTACCGCCTGAATCTGTCCACTTCACACCTTCAGCAATGTCACCACACATGTCCAAGATGACATCATTTCCTGCCTGGATGACCTGAATATTCCCTGAACAGTCTCTCTGCATCTACACAGCCATTTCAGGCTTCATGATGCAGCCACAGGGTCTTTTAAATTGCAAACCTAGTGATGGAGTCCCCCAACTTAAAAGCTGTTGCCCTTAGGCTAAAGCCAAACTGCCAAACATGGTTCAGGGCCCTGCAGGGCCTGGCCTGTCCCACCTTCCCCTGCTCAGGTCCAGCCACCTCAGCTGTCTTATGTCCCTCAAACAGCCCAGGCTCCCTCCTGCCCCAGGGCCTTTGCACATGTGGTTTGCTTTTCCTAGAATTCTCTTCTTACCTGCCATCCTTCACCTTACAAGACACTGACATGCTTCCACATGCACGCATGCCTACTGCACCAGTAAACACGACAGCTCACAGGCCCACTTTCCTCTCCTCAGAGCCCTAATGCTGGTATGTAATTATACATACTCATGCGGCCAATTGGTTGATTGACATCTGTCTCCTGCCAGATGGTTTTTGCTCACCAGGCTCCTCTGGGGCCCAGCTCAGGGCCTGTCACATATTCTCTGAATGGAGGACTCAGCTAAGCACCTCGGCAATAGTATCAATAACAACACTGACCATTTGATGGCCCAATCCTCCTTTGGGGACTGACCAGCTGTCCAGCCACATCCATTCTCTCCCCTTCCTGGGGACACAGCTAGACTACATTTCCCAGCCTGCCTTGCATGTGGGCTTTGCTGTGTGACCAACCTCCAGCCAACAGGGTGTCTGTCACACCACAGCCCGGTCCTTGGGGCCTGTGCACATGAGAAACAGGCTCCCCATGGACCACCATGCAGCCATCGAGAAGTGGGGCAGATCTACAGTAATCGCCGTGGAAAATGTCCATGTGACATTTATAGGTGAAAAGCAGGATGTCAAACTGTGCATACAACGTGAGCCTTACTTATCCAACGTAAGACTTGGAAAAATCAAAGCCAAAACCAAACCAAATAAAATAAGGCATGGTTATCTCTGCGTGTGTGTGCAAGAAGGGATTTCTGGAGGTGTGTCCGCCACAGAGTTAACAGGCATGAGGACTAGGTGGGGGAATTCCGCAAGATTTTTATGTTCTTCTTTGTATTTTTCTGGACTTTCACAATAGTTACGAATTGTTTTTATATTAAAAATAAAGCTCTTTCCCCTGAAATGAAAACACCAGGGGCCTTTCCTTTCCTGCTGGGAAGCAGCCCCTCCCAAGCCCCACCAGGCTCACATCCCAGCTCCCAGCCGGAGGCGGGGCCCAGCAGGGGCTGATGAACAACTGGGGGATACCCGACCTGCCCTATCAGTGGTAGCAGGTCCAAGTCGCCTCCTGGCTTGGCTGGGCTTGAGGAAGAAGGACTGGAGAGCCGCACCCATGGGTGTGTTCTTGGAAATTGAATGATTAAACCCATTACCCAGGCCTCAGAAGGTTTTTAAAAGAATACATTTGTTAGCGACTTGGTAGTTTGCAACTTTCATTCTGTATTGTAGCATGGGGGGTGGGGTGAGGTGGGGGAGAGGGAACACAGAGTCATTTAAAGCGCACCCCAGTCCCAAGAGGTAGTGGCGGGTCCCAACAGGCTCCCGGGCCCTGGGCCACTGCTGTGCCAGACTCTGCCTTCTTGTCTGAGCTCACCTCTGTGAGAGCAATTTCTTCCAGCTTGGCTCACAGCCCACGTGGGACACACCCTTCAAGGAACAAAGAAGCACAACAAATAGGAACCCTGCAGGCAGTTCCTGACCGGGTGAGCCACCAACCAGCCCAAAGCACCCGTTTTACAAGGGTAGTGATGGATTTTGGATGTCACCAGCACCATTGTGCCCACAATAAGCACCAGCATGAAATAGCCGCTGGCCTCGTCTTCCACTCCAGCACCAAGCCGCTCCCCGCTTCCCTTTAGGAGAAGCCTCCTGACTTAGAAACAAAGCAACTTTCCAGCTTCCGCATCAGCACAGTTCTCTACCCAGTTACGTCAATTCATCGTCCCTGCCCCTGTACATTTCATGCCCAACAGCTAATATAAACTCTCACAAACCCATTGTTGGGGCTGTCCCCATTTTCAGGGCAGCCCTGGGCTGCCTGCCACTTTGAGCGCAGCCCAGCAGATTTTCTTCCATTAATAAAGCTTGAACGGTACCCAGCATCTCAGCTCACTTTCTTTCAGGTAGCATTTATGGTGGGGACAAGACCACACCATGAAGAAGGACCCAATTTCACCAGAGCCCAATAATGCTTCCCCTGTGGGCTGTTAGCAGTGCTGGCTATTTGCAGAAAAAGCCTGCATGGGGCACCTTCTCTGGCCACTGGGTGGTAGTATTGTGTGACACCCAGGCAGAGGCTACCCAGGACCCAGCCTGCAGGACGATTTGGCAGGCGGGCACCTCTTAAGTATGAGGTGGGCCCCCTCGAACCCAACTCCACCTGTGCACACATTCGACATGCTCTGAGCTCCTCTGCCTGCTCAGTGCCACCAGCCCTGGCTCCTGGCTCGTGGGTGGCTCCCAGCAGGCCCCTCCTGCGACACATACATGAATGAACTCAGGAGATGAAATTCCACTGGCTGGACGTTGCCTACTGTCTAGAGTGGTTGGCAGGATTAAATAGAGTATTGCCCTTGGCACGTAGTAGGTGCTCAGCAAAGTTTGGTCTTTCGGGCAACAGATATTATCCAACACCTGCTCTGTATCTACATCCCACTGGGACTTTTAAACACGCACTGTGGTGCAGCCTTCCCTGCCCCGAGCCACTAACCAGTGTGCCTCCTTGCAAAGCCATTGTTGTGGCACACAACCATGCTCTTCAACCTTTGGAGTGGCGTGGGTTCTTGACCCAGGCCCTGTTGCCAGCCCCTGCGCTGTCCCCATGGTGCCCCCACAGTGCAACACTGTGGGAGAGGCATCTGCAGAGACTTGCTCAGCAGAAATGGACCCCCCTCCCCCAAACCCCTCCTCACCTCCAGCCTCGTCCGGTCCACATCTTTGGGCAGTTTCACGCGAATTCGGTTTGTTACGATGAGGGCATCATAAGGATAGACCTGTCAGGGGAGAAAACCACAAGTTCACCTCCAGGAGCCGGTGTGTGCCAGGACCAAAGAGTGGAGCAAACGCTGGCCGAGAATACATACTTGGTCTGAATCTGACACACACCCCTCACGGGGAGCACAACAAAGAGAACTTTTAACCTGGGCAGGCACAGCGCGGCGCGGAGAGGTCAGCCTGGGCGCGGGCGGCCCTCTTACCTTGTACTCTGCAAGAAAAGAGCGGAGACCACGGGGTGTTTACAAAGTGTAGGAACTCATCCTAGAGGTGAAAGCGACCCCGACCTGGGGACACCCAACCCCCACCCCTGCAGTCGGCCGGGCCATGCACGGTCTACCTGTCCCCTGAGCAGCCTGCACTGGGGCTCTAATCTCAGAGGGCAAGGGAGGGCTCTGAGGGTCTCTGGGGGAAACCAAGAGCAGGAGGCATGGTCAGGAGGCTGGAGGCCAGACTGGAAGCTGGGTGGCGGCACTGTGCTCCTCAGCTGTTGGATGGTCTGGGCCACCTGAGAAAGGTGTCTGCCTCGGTTTACCTGCCTTCACAGTGGGCATTTCCGAGGAGACTTTTGGCAAACCTCTTGGGGGGTTGTGGAGACTGACATCCTCACCCTGGTACTCTGGTCTAGTTCCCACAACCCCAGCTTCTTCCTGTCTTCCTTTTTTTGTGTGTGGCGGCTAGTCTGTACAGGGATCCAAACCCTTTACCTTGGTGTCATAACTAATCAACTGAGCTAACTGGCCAGCCCCTGTCTTACCTTCTTAACTCCTTAATTCCTCCTTTGTAAACTCCTGAGCACCACACCCTTGCTGTTTAAAATGTCTTTGTAGCAGACCCAAAGCATCTTATTAAATAATAAAATAGTATGGATAGTAGGGTCTTTGCACCCATGGAACCCACAATCCACAGCATGTCTAGATCTTGGGCCTCAAGACTGTCTCAGAAGGGACACCCTTGTGTCCCTGAGTGTCCCTGCATGCCACGCGAGATCATGATGTGCCAGCTCAGAGGCCCGGGGATTTGGGAAGCCACTTGGAGGGAGCAGGCTGTGACACCATGATGTTCTGTCCACATGCAAACCAGTCCACAAGAGCAAGGCTCTCCGTCATTCTCAGGGGGTGATAAGGACATGAGTGTAGCCAGGGCAGAGGAGCACGCTCAGAGCTATGACAGTGGCCCTCTGTCAGGCCCTTCCACGTGAGCAGGTGACCACTCTGGTAACACCAACCTCCCTGGCAATCCTCCTGGTCTGAAGCCAAGAGTCACACCCTGTGCCCGCAGCCACACCATGTCCAAGGGTGGGAGGCAGATCTGACCCCACTCTGTTCAGCTCAGACTCCAGAAGCTTTTCACCTGTGACTCTGCTTCCCCAAGTGGCACAGAGTGCTGAACAAGTCAGGAGGGGCCGGCTGTACCAGAGGATGAGAGAGAAGGGAGCCTCTCAGGTAAAGTGAGTGTGGAGGTAAACTGATCCTTGGCTGGAAGAGGCAGGTAATTGGGCACATTCTCCCTGTGGTGGTACCCTTGCCCACTATGCCTGAAGCCTTTTGCCAGCAGGCCCTGGAGGTGTTAGCAACTCCCTGACCTAGCCAGAGACCCAGCGGGGTCACCGCTGTGTGTACCTCGTGTCCCCCAGCTGGCATCCGGGTCTGCTCCACAAGGGGCCAGATTGGCATTCTGGAAGAGAAAGAGAGAGAGGGAGGCAAGAGGCAGGTTGCATGAGGGCAGGCAGGCAGGGGGCCAGATGTCTCTTCCCCACGTGCCTTGGTCCTTGCACAGCCTAGGGAGGAGGGTGTCCACAGCACAGAGATGGGGCATAGGCGACAGATGGAGGTGATGCCCAGCTCCAGAAGGAGGGTGCACAGGATGCCTGCACCTGTGGGGCTTGCTGGATTTCACACCTGGTGGGTTTGCTCATAGGATGTCCACTGCCTTGGAGGCCAGCGCTGACCCTGCCTGTCTGGTCAAATCCAACATGCCTTTAAAGATGCTCCTAGGTGCCCGGGTCACTGCAGCAGATGGCTCAGCACCATTCCTTTGTTCATGTTGCATATGAGGCTTGGCAGTCTGTGGTCCACAACTGGTGACCTATGGCGCCTCTGCTCCCCTCCACACAGTGGTTTCCTGAGCTCAGCGCCTAGACCTGTCTGTCCCCAAGCTCCACCCTAGGCCCTCTGTCCCCTGCAATATGGCCAAAGGGAAGCATTGGCCACTGCCTCCTGGGGCTGTGCACTACCGTGGAACTCCTGTTCTATTCCTGGAGCCCCTGGAATCCAGCTACTCTGACGCAGCAGCTGTGTGTGCAACTCAAGTCCATCTGCCCTGGTGGCTCCAAGACAAGAGGAGCCTCCACCTGCATGGAAGCCACCACACTGACAGCAGCCCTGCGTGTGGCCATCTGAGACTGAAAGAGCCTGCTCTCTGTAGAGCCCCTGTCATGGAAGCTGGCATGTTGGAAGCACCCCATACATACAGACTGGCTGTGTCTCTGACGTTGACACTCAAGGGTGACACCCAGAGGGGATGTGGAGCTGAGAGCCCCTACCCCCGCTTCAGGTGCCATTGCATTTGTCAGCAAACCTTGCCATTTGAATGCACTGCAACCATAAATGTCTGGAATTCTTTTTCCTTTCTGCCGACCTGAAAAAATCATCTACACATCCTGCAAACCTCTAGAGGGTCCGCACAGTGTAGAGCATGGGGTGGGCCCCTGCAGGCATTAGTCAGTCCCTCTCCTGTCCATCTCCTACAGCTGGCTGGCACCTGGGGATTGCACCCAGAGCCACGTTCTGTCATGGCCATGCATCCGCTGCTCACGGTGGACTGAGCCCCTTGAAGAAAATGTCTTATTCATGTCTGATCCCCAGCACCTGGTACAGGCTCTGAAACAGGGTCAGGGCTTGTGGCCAGCGCTTCTGAAATGGGGCACAGGGATTAAATATCAACAAAGAGTTCTGCAGTTAAAGGGGCGATTGTGTGCTTAACCCAGTGGCTACTGTTACAGGGAAAAGTGCTTTCAGAACTGACACACTGCCGTGGACAGTAAGGGAGAAGATGGTAATAGTCCTCAAGAGTGTGGGAGCAGAAAAAGACCTCAGAGAGCACTGAATCCAAAGCCGTCATCAGAAACGGGGAAACTGAGGCCCAGAGAGAAGCTGGGGCCTTCCCTCATCACAGAGCCAGACCCAGGAGGCCGGACCAGGCTGATGAGTGGTGAGCATGCAAGCAGAGAGTTGGAACCAGTCTTTACTTGCTTTTGATATTTTGTTCATTATGGATTTTTTTGGCTTTAATTTGGATTTCTAAAAATATTGCATTAAAATATAATTTATCTCGATGACTGCATCTTTTGGTTAGTGCCTCACTCACCTCTCCCTAAAGTCCTGGCCCCCAGGACCCTGAGCCAGGGGTCTTTGCACCCACCCAGTGACTCTCCATAGTCTCTCAACTCTGCCACTTCACAAAAGAATTCTTCCTCTTAGGAGTTTTCAAGAACAATTTTTTTTGAAACATTTTCTCAGCACACTGACTACCACCCTCAGTAGCATCTGTCCGGGTCGGTCAGGCATCCTCTCCTTGCACAAACTGAGGCAAATCTGCCTCGGACTTGCCTGGCGTGTCCCATGTACAAGAGAAATGCTTCCCCCTAGTGCCCGCTGTCCTGCATCACAGGCGTCAAACTCCCAGGCCACCACTGTTGGCTCGGACAGTTGGAAACCCACTTCCCAGCAGCAAAACCAGCTTCCTCTGGTCTTCCAGGCTCCGAGACAAGACGAGGCCTCCAGAAAGGAAGTAAGGCATATTCCAGGTGGAAGAGGGGAGCATCAGATAGGTCCAGAGCAGGAAAGGTGGAGTCTACTCCTGGTCTTCTAAACTCAAAGTGGGTACGGGATCTGTAAGACCTCACAGGTACAAGGGAGTCTTGATTTACTGCCTTAAGGCTGGCTGGAGAGCTTTGTGGCCAGGGGAACACCACAAAGCAGCACCACCAGGCACATCCCTGGCTCACTCCCCTGCAGCTCTCAGTGGAGGCACCAGAGATCTTAAAAGCAACAAATGATTTACCTCTACCATTTGTTTGGTGCTTATTATGTGCAAATTGCTCTACAGAGACATTCTCTAATCTTTGCTGGAATCCCAGAAGGTGATTATTGTTATCAGCATTTTACAGGTGAGACTCAGAGAGGTTAATCAATTTGTCTAAGATCACACAACACATACATGGGACTGTAAAAATTTGAACCTATGTGTTTTATTTTCCAAAAATTATACTGGGATTGCTAATAGGAATGAGAGTGTGGTGTTTGCTACCAGCTGACCTTCATTTCTTGCTAAAGTGCACATTGGAATGTGCTGTCTTACTCAGCAGCCACTGATGTGAAAGTAAGAGGGGGTTGAGGCTTGCTTTTTAAATAATTACTCATGCTGAAACCACACTATAAAGCTTACGAAAAGATTCCACAGCCATAATGTTATGTGTCTTCACAGTAACCTTAAGAGGTAAAAATCATTCTTTTAGAGACTAGGATATAGAGACTCAAAAAATTAAAGTAACTTGACCAAAGACAGAGCTGGGATTTGAACTCAGTGCTGTCTGATGCTAACACATGTGTTCTTTCCAGCATTACAATTTGCATATATCACACTTCTTTAATTTGTTAAGGTTTTCTATGTAGCCACATACATAAATATTTTTGTAAATGTTTTATGAACATGTGAAAAACTGACTCCAAAGATATAATTTATTTCATATACCTATTAGATTAGCTTTGCTGTTTGCACTATTCAATTACCTTTTGTACATTATTATTCTTATTTTTCACTAGATATATATGTCTTCTTTCAGGAATCATATTCAAATCACCTACCAAACTTGTATTCTGGCATTGCTATGTTTCTTGGTTCATTTAAGCTTATGAATGCTATAATTGCATTATTATATTGTGCCTTTATCATGAATTAGTGTCCCCTCTATATCTCTTTATACTATTATTTCTATTAATTCCTTTAAGCTTCACTTCCACCTTATATTAATAATGCCACTCTTGCTTTCCTTCTATTTGTGATTTTAGTATTTCTTTCTCATCCTTTAAAAATAATTTTTAAGTGTGTATCTTGTAATGACGCATGCTATTTTTAAAATCTAAACTGACAGTCTCTGTCTTTTAATAGGGGAATTCAGTCTGTTCATATTTAGCATCAGATTTTTTCAAAATGGGCTGTCCTCTAGGGAGCTATCACAAGGATCTGCTGGTGGTAGACCCTTAGATGAGAATGATGACTGGGTCACTGTTTTAATAACAGACCAAGTGGTGCATGTCAGAATCACTACTGCCTCATTCACGAGGAAACCTGCAGCAGCTGGCTGTTGTCTTATTCATTTCAAAGGTAGGTTATGAACATCTACCAAGTGTCAGGCACTGTGGCTGGCTTGATTATCAGGACATTTTAATGACCTTTGGGACATATGGTGCTATGGATGACTACGCCCTTGTAACAAATCCTCTTGGAGCAAGACCCGGGAAAACCTTTGCCTCCCCTGAACTGATTTCCTTTCTTCCATCAGACAACAAGAACAACATAACTGGTCATGGTTGCCTCTATGCCTTGACTATCAGAAAACTCAGAGCTAAGCTTTGATAGCTATTCTCATACAATGTTCTTTTGTTTGTTTTTGATGTAATTTTCTCCTATAGTTTCCTTGCCTCCTCCTTTGTGATTTGGTGTTAGTGGGATTTTGGTCTCACTGCATCTGTGCTTTTCCTTTAGGCCACCCAGAATCCTTTCTGGAAATAAAAACAAACCAAGAAGCATCCTAATAAATGACTCTGGAACACCGCAGGCCATTGGCAACAGTTCATGGCAGCACTCACTGGGAATACCAGGGCAAAGGCCAAGAGCCCAGGTGCTGGGCATGGCCACTCTGTAAAATATGGGTCATTTGAAAGATCAAGTATCTGGCCTTCCTGTAGAGAAATAGGTATAAATATACATAAGAGTCTTAGAAAGAGAAAAATAGGAAAGAAGGTTAGCAGGAGAAAATGAATCCCACAGCAAATTTATCAATAACATTCATCCATCTTCCCCATAAGAAATGTGAAAGGCTCAAATCTTCACGTGGTGCTGAGTTGCATCTATACTGACTCTGCAGGCACATGCAGAGGGCACACTGGCTTTGTAACATGCCTCCCCACCCTTTAGGCTTGCAGGAGAAAAGTCACAGCGGCTCAGCTCCTAATTCTGAAAATGTTAAGATTCTGCCCTTGGTATTCTAGAAAAGGGAATGAAGATTGCTAGAATGAGTGGATTGGCTGTTCTCAGATCCTTTCAGGAGGTGAGGCATCTGGAGACCAGGTCCTTCTCTGCAGATGCTGAACAGTATCAACCAGGAGAATAACCTCCCGAGAGGAGGCACAGTCCAGGTGTCAAGGACGCAAGACCAGGAATGCAAAGAATGCTATTCTCTGAATTTCCTTCCAGATACTGAGAAAAGCCCCAGGACTTGACTTGGGTGGCGGAACACCTTGGCTTGGTCCAGATCATGAATACCCACTCATCAGCCCCTGGATTAAAGAACAGCTGTTCCAGGTGAGACGAGAACATTCTAGAAAGATTTCCCACTGTCCTCAGGACCCTTGACACTGAGCTGAGGGATTCACATTCCTGGTGTTGTAGGAACCCTGTGGACACTGGTCCAGCTTTCTCATCCCCCCTGCTTTCTGTGTGGAAGATGAAGAGTGGGGAAATCTTTTGAAGAACATTCAAAGAAGCACGCCACATGCGCGTTCCCCGATGGCCCATTTCAGAACAGAGAGTGGTTAGTGGGACGGGGTTCACTAAAATAAAACCATGCGGAGGTGCCAGAGCCTGGGGGAGACCCCAGGAGGCTGGGCCTCGGACAGAAACATAGCAGCAGCTCTGACAGCCTGAAGAGTATGGAAGAAATGAAGGCTGGCCCAAGAGGACACCTGTGGCTCCTACAATGTCCCTGCTCTTGAGTGTCCCTGTGGCCTTGACCCTGAGGAAGGGATACACCGGGGTTGGGGGGTGGGGGCTTTCCCTGGTTACATGCTTATTGCCAGGACTGCTCCAGGGCAGCAAATGGGGGACTCAATTTTTTAGTGGCCTTTCTTGAGAGATGCATTGCCTTGGTTTATGGATACAATCTCTCAGGCTTGGAAGAGGTGGCCTTGGGCAGTGGAAGGTCTCCTGGGGCTCTGTGTGTGTGTGAGGGGGGGTTCTGGTACCTTCATGCCTGCCCCATCCTAGGGCTCCTCACTAGAGACCTAGTGATGCTGGGAGAAGAGGGATTTGAAGAGCAACTCTTCAAAGGGGCTGATGTCCCCAGGGCACAGGGCCCAGCCCTCCTCAGGGCAGTCAGGCACCAGGTTCTCTGGGCTCATATTCAGATGCCCTGAGATTTGGAAAACTTGGAACAGGAGATCAAACCAGCCTTGAGCTGGAGCAGCCAAAGAAAGCCTAACGACCAGTTGATGTGATTGCTGTGAGATCATCCTGGGTGCTAATGATACTGTCAGCAGTGGTCACGCTGCCCGTGGCTTCCCCAGCAGAGAAGTGGATGCTGGGCTCACGCTGGCTCATGAAACACACAATCCTTTACAGCTCTGCACCACAGGGGGAGGACGTGGGGCAGGAGGGGCTTCCTAGAACAGGGCCTGATCACTCTGGGTGGTCTCCACGTGGGGACCGGGGCAGGGAGTGGGGGGGGGGAGGAAGGTCTGGTCCGGTCCTGGTTTGGAAAAAGCAGTGGTGGCAGTGGCAGCCCCTGGGCAGAGGAGCAGGCAGAGGCAGGCAGCTGAGTGGTCCCCAGGCCTCTCCTCCTGGCTGTGTGGTCAAGAAGCTGTGGGAACCACACTCAGACTCCCAGCAGTGGTTAGTACACCGTGGGCCGGGGAGGGGTTGATTACCTACCCGGTGGTCCAAGCCATTCTTTCCGTGTCCTGGGAGAGAGTCAGATTTGGAATAGGGGAATCCTGAAACAGATACAGCACAACTTCGTCACGCGCGCAGACTCGGCCAGGTGGGCGAGGAGGGGCGCACGCGGCCCAGGGTGGGCTTTGAGGCGAGTGGGGCTGGACAGGGGCACATGTGAGGCCCCCTGAGCATCACGCCCCACCTCCTTTGTGACTTCCTGTCCCCAGGGCACTGACTGAGGAAGGAGCCAGGGAGGAGTGATATCCCAAGCCCCTCCATGACAGGAGGGACACGGTGGAGCCCCGGCCCCAGCCCAGCTGGCACCTGTGCTCACGGACCGGCTCACCTTGGTGTCATCTGTCTCTCTGGCCAAGCCCCTCACCTTACAGGCCAGGAGAGCTGGGGGCAGCCAGGAAGGGATCCAATCTCAGGACACCCATGGGATGGGTGGGGCTGTGCCATCCCATGACCAAGGTGGCAAACGGGGGGCCTGGAGACTGTGATGTTTAAAAAAAAAATCTCGAGCTATTTGCAGTTGGGGGATTCCACATTAAAATGCTAATTTCTACCTTCTCTTGGAATAAAAAGGGGCTGGTCTCAGACATGGGACCCTCACAGTCCCTCACTGGCTGGCCCAGAGGGGCCCAGACCCTCCAGTGACCTCTCCAGTGCTTGGTCACTTGGCTTGGTCAGGAGAGCAGGAGGAAGTGGTGCAGCCAGCCCCGCCCTGTTCAGTGCAGCGTGGGGTGCCTTCCAGAGGGGGTGGGCGGGCACAGCTGCTGCTGGGTGGGGGGGCCCCCAGGCTGGGGGAAGCACCCTTAGGAGGCCTGCCCCAGGCCCCTGAACTATCTCTCCTTCCACTAGCCTGCGGGCCCTTAAAGAGCAGGGGCCACATCTGCCTCATCTGGGGTCCTGTCCCCAGCAGCACAGGCCACCCTTGCCCGCACTCGCTCCCAGGTGCTGCTGGGCTGCCTGCCTTCTGAGGTGTCAGCGGGGATGGCAGGTCATCTCTTAGTGTTCACAAGGCCATGTGTATATAGGACTGAGGACCATGCTTCCAATGGCGAGGCGGGCGCCGCACACAGAACTGCCCACCCACCCGCTCCAGGAAGGCAAAGGACTTATCCAGGTGTCTTACATTTGGGGGTTTCTCACAAACTCAGTGAGGACAATAGAGAGGAAATTCTGTAAAGGTCACATGTGTACACAGGAAAGCCTATAGGAGATACTTCAGCTAGGGGACCTGCCTTGGGGACTTGTTTGTCACTGTGTGGTCTGTGGGAATCTTCCAGATGTAGGTCAGGAAGGGCCTTTTACAATATCTGGGTCAGGGTTCTCGAACTTCTCTTAGCAGAGGAACCCTTCTGTCAGCTGAAATCTTACGTGAACCCCGACGTAAAAGAAGATAAAAGTGGAGCTGAGAAGACAGAGCAGGGAGAGGGGCTGGGGGCCAGACTGGCTGGGCCGCTCCTTGATCTTCCAGGTAAATCGTCCAGCCACCTCGTCTCAGTTCACAGAAGGGGAATTGAGACCCAGAGGCTTGCAGGGACCTGCCTGAGGTCAACCAGCCAGATAGCAGCAGCCTAGGTCACCAGATGAGGCTTCCTGACTTGCAGTTCTGGGGTTCCCCCAGGAAACACCTTCTTCTTAATTTATACAGAGAGCTGGGCACACCCTGGGGTCCCAAGGGACCCTCCTGCTGAGACCCCAGAGCTCCTTATCTGCCAAAGATGCTAGAGCAGTGGTTCTCAAAGTGTTATCCCCAACTATCAGCATCAACCCCAGCAGGGAACTTGTCAGAAATGCAAATTCTCAGCCGCCACCCCAGATCGACTGCATCAGAATTCTGGGGCTGGGGTCCAGTGTCTGTGTTTTCACAAGCTTTCCATGTCATTCTGGTGCTCACTTAGGTCTGGGAACTACTTCCCTACAGCCTCAAGAGCAGCAAACGCCCATGGAGCACTCTTCAGCTGGTGGGTCTCCACCTGAACGCATGCTACCATCGCCTGGACAGCTCGTAAAATTCCCAGTGTCCAGGCTGCCATCTGCTGGTCTCAACATTTAACCACTTCGCAGTGCAGAAACCTTATTTCCATTAAGGTCACTTTATTCTTCCCACTTTTTGGGGAGAGGGGTGGGAGAGGTGGCTGGCTGGTATGGGAAACCGAACCCTTAACCTTGGTGTTACAAGGGTGCACTCTAACCAACAGAGCCACCCTGCCAGACTCTCCACTTCTTAACCACAATTGTCTTAGGCATTTCTTTTACCTACTTCAAGCACCTATATTGGGTCGCGTTATATACATCTTGCTTCAACCATCAAATAGGACTTAAGAAACTCAGGAAGGGAGGGACATTCTTTCATATTTCTCCCCATTCTATCTATTCTGGTGTTTTCTCTTCTGAAGTTTCAAGTCTTCTTCTGCTATCACATCCTTTCTGTTTGGAGGACATCCATGAGCCATTCTTTGAGGGTAGGTCTGCTAGTGACGAATTCCTAAGCTTTCTTTGTCTGAGGATGTCTTTATTTCCCATTCATTTCTAAAACATATTTTCATTAAATATAGAATTCACACGGATAGTTCTTGTCTTTCAGTACATAAAAAATGTTGCCCCACTTCCTCCTGATTTCCATGGTTTCTGATGAGAAATCTGCTGTCATTTGAATTGGTGTTTCCCCTGTAGGTAATACATCTTTTCTCTATGGCTGCTTTCAAGGCTTTTTTCTCTGTCCTTAATTTTTGGAAGTTTAATTATGAAGTGTCTTGGTATGGATATTTTGGATTTATCCTTTTTTGGGTTCACTCGGTTTCTTGAATTTGTAGGTTTGTATTTTTTGCCACATTTGCTGAGTTTTCAGCCATTATTTCTTTGAGTACTTTTTCAGGCCCATTCCCTTTCTCCTCTCCTGGACCTCCAGTGATATAAACATTGTCCCACAGGTCTCTGTTCATTTTCCCCCCTATTTTTTCCTCTATCATTCAGATTGGATGATTTCTGTTGCTCTATCATCAAGTTCACTGATTCCTCTGTCATATTTAGATATTCTGTTATTGAACCCATTCTGTGATTTTTAAATTTTGGTTATTTCATTTTCCAGTTCTATACTTTCCATTTGATTTTTAAAAATAACTTCTATTTCCTTTGATGAAACTTTTTTTCCAGTTGTTACAAAAGTATTTGTAATTGCTTGTTGAAGCATTTTGATAAAGAATGCCTTAACATCTTTGTCAGGTAATTCAAACATCTGATTCTTCTTGGTGTACATATCTGTTGATTGTCTAATTCAAACAGTTATCTTCATGGTTCTTGGTGTGATGTGTAATTCTCTAATGTATCCTGGACATTTTAGATATTGTGTTGGGAGACCCTGGATCTTATTTAACTCTTCTGTTTTAGCAGGCTATCACCCTGTTGAGGTTTAGCATGGAAGGCCTGGTCTTTTATGGGCAGAGGTTCCAATGACAATGTAGTTTTCAGAATTCTTGTCAAGGAGCTACTCTGGTCTGCTAAGTTCCCCTGGTGCTGGCTGGTACTTCTGCGTGGTCTCTGCCGGTGCTACTTGTGGGGGCAAAATGTGTTTCCTTGTGCCACTAGGTGTGTCTATGGGAAGAGAGACACTGGCTGTGGGTGGAGCCCACTCTCAGGGCTTCAGGGTGCCAGTGAGCCTCCTGCTCAATGTCTGCTGGTGTGGACGGGGGAGGAAAATATCTGCCTGGTCGCTTCTCCTGCTGGGTGGGAGGCTGGGAGATGTGTGTTGCTGTGTTTTCCCTTGAGTCCCGAGGGTCCCTGGCCAGCCCACGTTCCTCTTCCCACCCTTTAGAGTTCGACCGAGGTCATCTGATGGATTATTTTGAGGTCCTTTTAGTTTCACTTAGTGAGGAAGAGCAGGGAGAGAGGAAGCTCATCCCCTGGGCTGCTGCCTAAACCCATTAAAATTGGCGTGTCTTGGGGTGGGACCTGACATCAGTAGATTTAGAAGGTCCCAGGGATCCCATATGCAGGGTTGAAAACCACTAGTTTTAAAAAATCTGTTCACTTGACCCTCTTCAGCCTATGCACTAAACATGAGCCCATTTTATAGATGAGGAAGCTGAGGCTTCATGAGATTAAATGATCTGGACAAAGTAAAATAGAAGAACTGGAGAGGCTGAGATGAAGGCCCCGGGCTTGTGGCTTCAGGAACTAGTATTCCCACCTGCTCCCAAGCAGGTCTGCCTGGGGTGGGGGGTTGTTGTGGGTCTTCTAGGGCCTGTGTGCCAGATGGAATTAGATGACCTTCAAGAGTGTATGGCCGTGTGTGTGTGTGTGTGTGTGTGTGTGTGTGTGTGAGAGAGAGAGAGAGAGAGAGAGAGAGAGAGAGAGAGAGAGAGAGATTGAGAGGAGAAACCTGCAGGGAAAAGGTGGGTGCAGAGGACCCTGGGCAAGGCGGCAGCTGGGCACTCATGACCCTGAAGTGCATCACACGCGGTAAACTCTGGAAACCCACCCTCTCCCTATGCCCAGGCTCCACCTAACCAGACTCCCTGCCCCTACTCTCAGAAGTCTGCCCATGGCCACCTTGCCCTCAGCAATCTGTCAGGACTGCTTATGGGGCCCTGAGCACACTCTCCTTGGGTCTGTCCTCTTCCAGGCTGACACATCAGAGGTCAGAGTAACTGTCGCACATTCAAGGCAAGGCCCCGCAAGGGTGGAGGATGGTTCCAGATGCAACTAGAAACATGCGGCTCATCACAGCATCCTGGGATGCTGCGTGGACAACTGATCAGTAAGCTGTGCCCGTGGGAAGCTCTCCACTGGTTCTCTGGTGCATGAACATGCAGCTTTGCAGCCGTGCGGCCCTGGGCAGGTTAGCTGTCCCCATCTGAGGAAGAAGGGGAGGTGGAACTCCCTTTATCCCTAAGCAACTGTGAATGAGAGGCCATTGAACCATCTGAACTTCAGGCTCCAGAAACTGTGACGGGGGCCTGTGATGGCTGCTGAAGGCCTGCTGGGCCTGGCTTGTGGATGTGGGCATGTTCTGCTTCAAGTCCCCCAAGGGTCAGGTCGCAGGATGCAG